ATCTGGTACTAATGACTTTGTACTGTGATAAGCGCTTCGCGCTTTGTCAACTTTAATAATTGCATAAGGACTATTTTAAATAGAACTTCACTGCAAAGAATGAAACATATGAATATCGATATAGATATAGTAGTATAAGACTGTATAAGGACTATAGCAAGTATAAAGCTGTCTATGTATATAACAAAAAAGCATCTGTGCAGTTTGCATGATGTCTCCGTAGTTTGTATAATGATTACACGTTTACATGATAATCCCAAATCTATATACAATGGCAATGATGTGTTTATATTAAAAAACAAAAAAAAATACTTTTGAAAATTTGATCTAAAGTGTGAATAAAACAGAATTACATGAACTGTAGGTGGTATGACAATGATTACTAATCAGTGCGAATATCCTTCAAGTAAGAATATTACGATCTTAAATCACTGTAGTTTTACATTGTCTTGCTAAACTTCTGAACTATGTCTAAAATGCACTGAATAGATTATACAAGGTTTCTTGATCTCTATTATCGAACAAACAGGATTTATCCTTATGCAATCAATTATGTAAATCATTGGAAAAAATAATTCATAAATAGTATAAGAGTTAATCAAAAGCACAAGAGTATAGTTTTATTTACATATATTCTTTTATTGAAACAATTTATAATAAAGGAAAATATTTATGAAAATTTTTTGGAGAAACAAATTTTTGACACACAAGATTTGTCAATTTACCAAAATTAAAAAGTGTTGGATCATTGGTAAAATTGTTTGTTATTGTTGTGAGTGATTTGTAGTTTATGGAAAGATTTACCAAACGAGGTAGATGCATATTTTTTTCCAAAAGAAATAGTTTAGCATAGTCAACATGTGCCTTTTCTAAGTCAAGAAATGTGAGATAAGGAAATGTAATTAATGTTGATGAATATTGTTTGTCTTCTTGTGGTTTATCATTAAATATATATAAGAATTCGAGAAAAGGAAACTCATGAGAGATGAATTTAAATAATTTATGTTCAAATGCAATTCTATTATTCATCTTCAATTTTCGAACTTTATGAAACATGCCACGTTGAAAAGAATTATTGGAATAAACACAAAATTCGAAGTCATACGGAAGTGAATAGATATGGCATTCGCCATGTCTAGAACATAAATCAGTATTAACATATGAAGCTACTTTTTGATAACCTCTTCCAATAAAACTACGTTGAATATCTTCATTCGATGGAAGTTCAATTTTAACATTCGTGTAGTAGACATCGGTCTCGATATTAAATGTAAATTTTTTTAATTGTGTCATATAAATAAGAAATTGATTATATAATTGAATACCATCAATATAAGTTGAATTAAATCTTCCAACTAATAGATATAATTTCAATTCTTCAAGATTTATCATTCGACAAAATAATGGAACAAGTAATTCATCATATTCAAATGTTATATGATTTACGGTGAATGAAAGACATTTCAATTGGAGAAGTTTTTTCTATAAAGAAAAGACAATTAGAAATATGTATTTAATTATTTGATTTAGTGTTGTTTTCTTCTAAACACAATCATTAAAATAATACACTTACTGTTGGATCAATAGGTGGACATAGATTAAAAATTTGTCCAATATTAATAATTAATGTTGATAAACAAACAAAAGGTCCATCAAGTATACAAAGACAATCAATTAAACTCACAACATTAATTTTCAATTTCATTAAAGTTGAAGGTACAGAAATCTTCGATATAACATTGAAAATAAGACTCTGACACTCCCGTATAGGAAATATATCACAAAAATTCAACGCAATTAATTTTTTACATAAAGATAAGATTAATCCAAACATATTTGAAACAATTTCCGAGCATAGTTCAACTGGTTTTATAATATCAATATTCAAATGAGTTATTTGTTTGGTCAAAAGATCACGAAGAATTAAATCACCTTAAATTTAGAAAATAAAAAGAAAAGATAATTATTTAAATATGTTACTTTTTTTCATTTGTAAAGACAAAATAAAATTCTATACCTGTTGAATATTCATGAAGTGTTATTTCGTGAAAATTTACAAGTGATAATGAATAAAGTTGAGGATAATTGGCAGCATGAAGAATTTGTTTCATTGAATCTTCTTCAACAGTGAGTTTATGTACTTGTGAATGAATTTGAGGTAAGATATTCGAACAAATTCTCGAAATAACTTGAGTATCTGTTGAAGAAGTTTTAAGTGAATTGATACTAATGGTAGAAGTCATATCGAGATCACGAATATAAATAGAATCAAGGACTAATCGACGAAATCGTCGATTAACATCCACAACTGAAGAAAGAACATCAATCATATTGAGTTTATGAAAAATGATGAATAAAATTTCATCGGATAAATCGAGTATATTAAGATGATTGTTATTTAAATTGTTCATGTCTAACTCATAAAATATATTCATGTCAATATATATATATATATATATACAGATGCTTGCATTTTCTTATTGCCGTCTATAAGAATAATGACGAAAAAATATCGATGCCGTCATATTATTCTATGATAAAGAAAACAAACAGACTAAATTAATTTAAAATGAACAAACCAATGAAATTGACATTGCTAGATAGAAAGGTCAATCATATTTCTTAATTCACTTTGAATTAGCTAAGTCTATTTGATTATCGAATATATGATGGCATTTTTCTTTCTATCGTATATTTTCCCTTATAATTTCTTAATGATCTATTGATCAGCTTATTACTCTCTTGTTAAACAAAAGATTTCTCATGTAGCGTGCTTCTTACAATACACAATATTACGTTTAGAATAAAATAAAATATATTAATTAGACATTAGAAATCTACTCATGAAAATATCAAGAATCTTTTTGAATAAAAATTTATCATTGATTTTATTGAATAAGAGGACATTTTACGCAATTTTCCTTACAAAAAGTGAAAAGATTAAAATTTCGAACTTTTACTCTTTTAAGATTTAAACAATTGAAAATCGCAGTTTTTTTCGATATTCTACTTCTTTTTCGCATAATTACATGCCGAGATTAATGAATGAATTATATTCGATCATTTCTTTGCTCAATATCAGCCATGATAGTCAAAAGGACAAGTGCTGGTAAGACCATTTTTTTCTCTCAAAATAGTTTATAGAAAAAACTATACAGTTAGAATCAGTATTAAATTCTGAACAAAACTATATAGTTATTTGTTTTTGGAAAAAAATCAACTTTTTTTTCCAAAAAAAAAAAAAAAATTCGCCTCTATCTCCTATGGAAAAAAAAAATTTCTTTTTGTCTCAGTTTGATCTAGATATAGGTTATCGATCATGCTAATCATGAATATGAAGTTTGTTTTGTATAAAAAATATTATTTAAATGAACAAATTGTTATTTCTGACAAAGCTCATTGTTCAACTTTATTTCAGAAAGTATACTGTCCTTCGATCGCAAAAGTCAGTTTACAATAGCAATAATATCTTATATATATGTAAAAAGAATTATTCTATCAATTATAGACAAATTGATAGTCTAACAGGTATATAACTCCAGTTTATATGGTTAAAAACTTGAAAAAAAAAATGAACAAATCCATATATTGTTCAAAATGTAGATCGAATTTTACCAGATTTTTCTCAATTGTTGCTACTATCTGCAAATTTTTTTCACTAAGTGATGAGTATATGCCAGCAATTTTGAGCAGCAACCGAATTTCAGCGAAGAGTTATGATAAGTATCTTAAGTCCTGCACATATATATTGAGTAAATCAAAGTTCAACATGCATACCTTAACATAAACATGGTGGACTTTTCATTGAACTTGTGGTGAACTAAATATTTTCAGGAGCTCTTAAAGCCAGCGTATTTCTAACAGCAAGTGTAAGAAGCATAAAGAAAATGTACACATCACATACTGCTGCCAATATACATATTGCTTAATATTTTGCTCAAGCAAGTTTCTTAATTAAAGTATATAGCACTATGTATATTAGCAGCACAGTATGTGATCTGTACATATTATTTATGATTGGTACACTTGCTGTTAGAAACGTTGGTGAGAGTTTTTTCTATCTAACATAAACCATTACTCATATATTTTCCGACGATTCTAAGTGAGTATGTGTATGAAAACTAAAAAAAGGAAAGAAAAGAAGGACTACTACGAGACCTGCATAATGCTAGACATTATGAAATTGTTGAATTTTTATTAAAACATAATGCAAATGTAAATATGCAATTCACATCTGGAAATAATGCCTTACATTATTCAGCAGAAGTACGAAAGGAAAAAAAACACAAAAAAAATTTTGGTTGAGAATTTTGTTTTTCTTTGTAGAGTTATGCAGATATTGTTCAATTTCTATTTGAACATAATCTTAAAGTAGAAGAAACGAATGAAAATGGTCATACATCTTTTATAAATAGAAGTTATCTGTTTAACAAAAGAATGTTTTTGCCAAATTAATTTTTAGATGGAAACAACTAGTGCTGGTCATGTAGAAGTAGCTCGGACTCTACCTGATCATGGTGCTGGTGTTAATACACATTCTAATGATTCGAACGATAGTATGTGCTGATTGATGAATCAAATAAAATAATTTCGAATTTCTTTCTGTTTAAATAAAAAATGCAAATGATAGTAAACAACATAAAACTAATGAAATGCATACAAGTAAACAAATTCATCTATGCAAAATCTATTTATTGTTTCTATTTAGCTTTAATGGAAGCATGTATGGATGGTCATGTTCAAGTAGCAAAAATATTACTTGATTATGGTGCTAATGTAAATATGCGATCAGATAGTTATGAAAGTCTATAACATTAAGTGCAAGTGGTGGTCAGATTGAATTAGCCTCGTTACTTATTGAACGAGGTGCAAATTTAGAAGAAGTTAATGATGAAGAATATACACCATTAATGGATGGTTTATTTAAGATTTTTTTAACATTTGATTTACTTTTTTTCTTTTCAGCTAGTAGAGAAGGACATGATGATCTTGTAAATTAATTTGTTTCACAACGTAAAATAAACATTGATTTTTGATTATCAAAAAAACAACAACAAATTAGTTCGTTTCAGGTGCAAATATAAATCGAACAATTGAGGATACACAAAAGACTGTCTGTATATGCAAATCTAATATTTATTCTTGTTAAAGATGGATCCAATTTCTAGTAACATTGGCATGTACTAGTGGATTTTTGGATGTAGGAAAAACTCTTATATCTAATGGAGTAAATGCTAATCTAGCTTAATCAACTCCTCTGATGGAAGCCTCACAAGAAGGTCATGTAGAATTAGTTCAATATTTAATTGAAAATAGTATTGATGTTAATCAAACAACATCAGCTGGTGAAACAGATATTTTGTTTTTTTGTATATAAAAATTTTATTTTTAATTAATAAATATATCTTTGGCTTATGCTTGTGAAAATGGCTCCATAGTGATGTAGCAGAAATTTTACTGAATTCCGATGCATATATTGATCAAGCTGAACATGAAGGACGAATACTATTAATGAAAGTAGCTAGAGCTGAACATATACGTACAGTACGATATTTAATTTCATAAGATTAAACAAGAGAAACAACATTTTTCTTTCTAATAAATAATCTTTTGTTTGATTTTGATTTAGGAGGCCAGATCAAGGTGAATAGTTACAGAACATGTTCCGAACGCATTCGGCATGACGTTTTCTATCATTGCGAACGCATTTGAAGGCGTTCTGAACAGATGAACACTATTGAACGCAATCTGAACACATTTTCATACGTTCGTCCGTTCTGAACGCATTCTGTAACCGTTCGCCTTGATCTGAGAGTAGATGTTAATCAAGTAACAAATAGTAAATAGTAATGATTCAATTGTTCTTTCATTAGCATGTGCAGGTGGTCATCTTAATGTACCTTCATTATTACTTAAACATAGTGCAGATTCAAATCATATACTTAAAGTGAATTTTAATCAATTAGATTGTTCTTTTGAAGTTTAGAGAAATTTATTTTTAGGATTATTCGAATTGTTTAATTGAAGCAGCAAAAGGTAGTCATACAGAAATAGTAAAATTATTATTTGAATATCCGAAAAGTATAACACAACGAATACAAACAATTATACCGACAAGTTCAGTTGATCCATTATATCTGAATCTATCGAATGAAAATCATCCAAATGAAGAGTGTTTAACTACAACTATGTCAAATTCATTTCCATTACTATCACCACCAGGTTTTTTTTTTTTTTTTTTTTTTTTTTTTTTAAATTGAAAATATATTTTTTAAAAAATTATAATTCATTTAATAGGAGATAATAAACGAACTTCTCAGATGACTAATGCACCAATTCAATTACTTAAAAGTCTTGAAAAAATCGTTTCAAGAAATATTCTTGATGTTCTTCAAACTGGTGTTAATAAATCGACAAAATTACATTCAGATAATGATAACAAAGGTTGATTTGATCAAAGAGATCATATTTTCTTTCAATTAAAATATAATATTCTTTAGATAATACAACATATTTATGTTTGAATAACAATCGATCATAATCATCTGCTTTCATCGACGAATCATTGCAATAATCATTAATATCAAATCAAAATTCTGATATTAATCATACTCAACAAGCAAAAAAACTTCAGATACTTGGTAAGAAATTATCTCATATTTATCATTACTGAGCTTGTCAAAAGTAACTCAAAACTCATAATACTGAAATAATGAAAGTGAGTCTACTGGCAAACTGACTACACTCATTGACTCTCAATAGGACACCGATGTTCTATGAAACATTGAATCAGTAGTTCTGTCAAAGTATGCGTCTTTTTAGGCTTTTAAGATATGGATAAAAGCTTTAAAAATGCACACTTTGACAAAGGCACTGGCTTTATGTTTCACGAAACATCGGTGTCCAAGTGAGAGCCGATGAGTTTATTAATATATAATCAGTGGTTTTCTCAGGGGCGGCGGAACGTGTTGAAATCAGGTGAGGCTCAAAAATAGC